TGGGTGAGTGTGGCTAGTTTGCTCTAGCAGTAGCCACTATAGCAGGGCTACTCAACTTTGGAAGCTGTGGGGACCACAATGATACAGCACATGCCGAGGACGGCAACTTGAGTGTGGTTGAATGTACATGCAACTATACATACAGATAGCTTCTTTCACACCCATAGGCATGAATACAAAGATTAAGGCAAGACTTCATAACACATAGGCCCCATTTAAGACAGTTCTGCTGATAATTAATAAAATGCAATATTTACCCCATTTCCACCCATATGAAAGCATTTTTAATGACCAATGACAGTCCAGGAATTTAACTACTAAAATGCTTATCAACAGAAGACCATTATATTGACTACGTTTTTGTTTTGGCTCCCAGCCGTGAGCTGCATGTTGAGCCCCACGTAAACGCAAGCTGCACTGTGGGCTGCAAACAAACAGGCTGCGGGCCGCATGCAGCCCACAGGCCACATGTTGAGTAGCTCTGCACTATACAGTGGCTATTGCTTCAGAACTGGTTGGACACCACTGCCAGAAAGTTTGGAGGCAGGATGGGGATAGAAGGAGATGGTTAAGGAGTGGGGTGTACAAGAGGGTATGAGGGAAGTGGATAGGGGGTACCGCCCTTTCCTGGAGGGGCAGGGGTCTCTGGGTGCTGCTGCCCCTGCATGCTCCCCCAGGCTTCTTCCAACCCCACCTACCATTCCCAGGTGAGTTAATATGCCTGGGGGGAGGGTGCCATCATGAGCAGCACATCAGGGCTAGAGTAGCTATGATCCCTGCAGCTGCTGGCATGTGGGTCCCTGCTCTCCCTTCCTCCTGTCTGCAGGGGGACACATGCTGATAGCTGGGGTTAGTGAGCAGTAGGAAGTTGTTTTAGCCTTGCTGCGCTGCCAGTGGTAACCGTGCTCCCCTCCCCACACGTTTTAACGCATGTGGAAGTGGCAGGTGGGGCTATGGAAAGCATGGGGGAGCACACGATGATTTAGTGATGCGGGGCCATACAGAGAGTTTTTATGGAGCTTAGCCCTGGGCTGGGAATATTCCTAGTGCAGGGGCCCCATGACCTCATATAACTCATTGCCTAATATGGCCTGGCCCTGGCTGCTACCATTCACATTGGTATGTTTAGTGTTGTGATACCTGGCAGCCTTCCCCAGGGGTAGAGGTCCATGTCCTTGGCTTTGTTTTACAAAGGGTTAAACTTTGGCTTAACCAGGAGTTCTCAGATTGGGATTTCTGAACCCTCAGGGCTACCAGTTCACAACTCCAGGTAGTCTCCTAAGTGGAGTACTTTGCATCTGTCCTTACTGAATTTTGTCCTATTTACGTCAGAACATTTCTCCAGTTTGTCCAGATCATTTTGAATTATAATCCTATCCTCTAACGCATTTGTAACTCCTTCCAGCTTGGTATTGTCTGCAAACTTTCCATTTGTCCTGTCAAAATAATAGGTAAAAGACAGAATAATGTGTTCACATAGGCCCCAATCCTGCAATGAGTTTTTTTCAGACAGACTCCAGTTATTCAGAGTCGGATCTATTGACTTCAGCTGGGTTCCATGCATGTGATATTTTCAGCAGGGATGTAAAGTCCCAGCTAAACATACAGTTTAGCCATTTAACTAATTAAAGAGGGGGTCGAGGTTGGAGCAGACTCTGTCCATGGCAGGCAGGTAGCTGCCCCAGCACCCACTGGTTATCCAATTAAACATTCAGATCCCTAATTTTCAAGGGTGTGGTTTTTCAAGTTGATGGTGTCCATGAGTGGTTGGTGAAGGCAGGGCTGGGGGAGGCAAGCTCCCAGCCCCACCTCCAGCCCTCCCCTGTCTGCTGAGGTCCTTCCGCCCTCCTCCACGGGGAGATGGAGCAGCATGTCTCACACAAGCTCCCCCCTTCCAACCATGGTGAGGGAAGTGGGTGGGTGCACATTCTCCCCAACTTCCCCAGAGGAAGGAATGCCACTTAGCCTCTCTAGCACTGGAGGAGGAAGAAGGAGGGGGGCATGCCACGTGGCTCAGCCCGGCCTCTCCAGCCCTGGAACACTGGAGGAGGGAGGAGGACATGCCGTGAAGCCCAGCCTAGCCTCTCCAGCCCCAGAGCACCAATGGAGGGAGTAGGGCACGCCATGTGGAGCAGCCCAGGCTCTCCAGCACTGGGAGGGTGGATGTGGGGGGCAGGAACTCTCTGCCCCCAGAACACCTAGGCTGTGTCTAGACTGGCAAGTTTTTTCGCAAAATCATCTGCTTTTGTGGAAAAACTTGCCAGCTGTCTACACTGAATTTCCGCAAAGCACTGACGATCTCATGTAAGATTGTCGGTGCTTTTGCGGAAATACTGTGCTGCTCCCGTTCGGGCAAAAGTCTTTTTCCGAAAAACTTTTGCGCAAAAGGGCCAGTGTAGACAGGAGAGATTTGTTTTCCGCAAAAAAGCCCCGATCGCAAAAATGGCGATCAGGGTTTTTTTGTGGAAAAGCGCGTCTAGATTGGCCACGGACGCTTTTCTGCAAAAAGTGGAAAAGTGTCCTGCCAATCTAGACGTGCTTTTCCGAAAATGCTTTTAACGGAAAACTTTTCCGTTAAAAGCATTTTTGGAAAATCATGCCAGTGTAGACGTAGCCTATGTGTTTGACCACTTTTCATTTCACTTGCAATGGGGCAGAATTCTGGTGATTAGGAATTGAAGGTGCTAAATACCTTAGAGGATCTTTTTTTGTGTGTGTGTCTTTTAACATACTTTTCTTGTAGATTGATGAAATTGATGCTCTCTCATCTATATATGGTGATGACTGGTGTGCTGTTGATGAAGATGAAAAGATATTTTGCATTAAGATTAGTGATTGTTTGGAGCAACCAAAATGGACTCTCTGTTTGCAGGTATGGTGTTGGTGCAGCGTTTGGCCCAGATTCTATGATCAGAATCATGCAGGTGGATCTTTGTGCCACATTTAAAGGGGCTCCATATAAACTGAAGTAGGAATGTGAAAGTGTAACGGTGTGCATGGTTAACTGAGGAACCTGGGCTCATTGGTTAACCTTCACATACATGCAGGGTCCCAGTATGCGTGGGGAGATGGCTTAAAAGCCAGCTTCCAGAGCACACTGTCAAGTGGGGAGCCACCTGCCCCACTGCTCTGCTGCCTCTGATATAGAGGCATCAGAGTGGGGAGGGAAGCGGTATGTGTGGGGAACCAGGTCTCCTGTGCTTACTGGGAGCCTGCGTGTAACAGAGGCAGCAATGTGGGCTTGGGCAGACAGGAACTTCCACTTCTCCCTCCTGTGTGTAATTGAGTAACCACTGAAATTTTCAGCAATTACACATTTACTTGATTAAACACATTTTAACATCCCTAGACTCAAGGGTCCACTCCTATGAATCCAGTGGTCTGTTTAGCTGTTTAGCTCCTTAAAACATTACTTCAGGGGATAGCCGAGTGACTCTGTTACAGAAAAAAAACAACAAATGATCTGGTAGCACTTTAGAGACTAACAAAACATGTAGACGGTATCATGAGCTTTCGTAGGCACAGCCCACTTCTTCAGATGTCCGGAGTTATGAGTAGGGGATATAGAAACTGGAAATAAAAAGGAGAGGGGAAGGAGGGGGGCTGGGAAGAAAAAAGGAAGGGGTGTGTGAGACAGAGCATCATTAAGTAACTGGAGAATGGGTACTTAACCCTAAGTAGATCAAAGTAAATAGATGCTAAGACAGGAAGGATACGGCTCACAGAGCAGTTAGCACCTTCAGTGGTTATGAAGCAGGTAGTGTCCTAGCCAGCCCATATCATGATTGAGTCCATTAGCATGTGAATTGAATTTATGGATGAAGTGAGATTCTAATCCTAGTATTTTATAGATTCTAATCCTAGAATCTCGCTTTATCCAACTCTCTTGGTGGGCCGGATCTGGCCTGCGGAGGCCCTTTGCTAAATACCCTTGGTGGGTGCAGGAGACTTCACACACTCTCTCCACCCCCAGGCTAATCAGGGCCTGAGGGCAGGGAAGTGTGCAAACTCTCTCAGCCCTCCAGCTCCGCCCTGCCCAGGTTGCATGGCACCTAGAGGGAACCACCAGCTATTTTGAGCAGCTGGCTGTTTCCTCTAGGTGCTGTATGCCCCTTGCGAGGGGAGGTCTTGATTGACCCTGGGGGAGCAGCAGAGTGTGCCAGGGGCTGGATCAAACGCTTTGGCGGGCTGGATCCGGACCACAGACCTTATCTTGCCCACCCCTGGAGTAGACTGTATGTCAAGTTACTTCTGTGTATCATGGATGAGCAAAAGTCTAAATTATACCCTCAGGATAAACATACAGCCTTTATTTCATCACATAATAATGAAGCAGTCTATTTTCTTCTTTTTATAACACTGCTCACCATCCAAATACTCTTAATTGGTTTTGTTATGGTACTTATTTTATTTAGCTAGTTTTGGAGGTCCAACCTGATGACTATTTACATTTAAAATTCTTTTTAGGTGATTCTACCTTCTGAATATCCAGCTACTGCCCCACCTATTTATCAACTAAAGTAAGTGATGTCTCTTTGGCCATGTCTTCATTTGGGATGTAAAAGAGTAGTCAATTAGTCGACTACTTGCTTCCTGCTCCCTCCCCCCGCTGCCTTTATATCAGAGGCAGCAAAGGGGGGGCAGAAGCCAGTGCTGTGGGGAGCCAGTTTATAAGCTGGTTTGTCCCCATGGTGTGGGAGGACAAGAGAGACAGGAGCAGCGGTTAGGGACCTGGCGCAAGCTGGAACTGCTGAGTCTTGGTTCGTGTTGGGTCTGAGACCTACACCACTGCAGCTCTGCCTTTTAAATGTAGTAAAGCATCGAAAAGGCAGAACTGCAACGGGGGGAGATCTCAGCAGTCCTGGCTTGCTCCAGGACCCAGATCTACCCTGCTGCAGCTCTGCCTTTTAAAAGTAGTAAAAGCCCCCAAGCTCTTACTACATTTAAAAGGAAGAGCTACAGCGGGGTAGCTTTGGGACCCATCATGAGCGGGACTCAATTTGTCCCAATTTGTGCCAGGTCTGGGACAGTCCGCTGCAGCGGGGCCCCTAATGACTAATTGTGTACTTGATACAAATTGTATCGAGTACACGATTAGTTAATTCCCCACATCTTAACATCTTTAATCTTCACTAAAAAAATGATTGATCTTCCGGGGTTCGATTTAGTGAGTCTCGTTAAGACTCACTAAATTGAACTCAGACGATGCCCTTGGTGGTTGCCAGTACTCCTGCTTCTGCAAAAAGTAAGGGAAGCCAATGGGAGCATTTATTGTCGTCAGCCCCCTGCTGTGGGGACAGCAGGAAAATTCGAAACAAGTTATGTCATCTCCAGCTGCATATCTTTATTTGACCTTCCCTTTTTAGTGTAGACCTAGCCTTTGTCAGCAGATTTTTCTTTTAAAAGTTTACTGTATTTTTTTTCAAATGTTTATTGCAGCTGTTTGTTGAAGTTTAAGATAGCTAGCTGATTGAATTGAATATACATCCAGGAAATTAGAGATATTAACAAACATTTGTAAAATTTACAGGTTAATTTGGGATTTAAATGTTAGCACTACAGGATTAAAGGAGCACTGTCAATTGCGTCAGACCGGGATGGAGAGAACAAAAGCAGCAGCATGCACAGTTTTGTCAGAAAAAGCGGTGGGCAGTAGGGATAATTTGTTATACTCTGAGCAACTCTGAAGCCATGTTAATGGAATATGTGCTCAGCTTTCTTCAAATGGTGTAATGGGGTCATCCCAAAGAAGAGCATTAAAGGGGACCAGTAGAAGATCTTGGAAGACTGCTTATCCTGAGATGTTAACAAAACTAAAATCTGTATCAGTAAGACAAAATATGTATCAGTAAGACAAAACTGTTCTTAAAAGTCTTACTTTTGAATGTATTTTTTTAAATTATAATTTTTTGAGCTGAGCAAAGACACTGAAACTCACAGTTAATGGCGCTAACTTCATTTGTTTTTTGTAATTCTAGTGCCCCTTGGCTTCGAGGACAAGAATATATGGAACTAGCAAATAGTCTGGAAGAAATCTATGTGTAAGTGTCAGTAAATGGAAAATTCTAAAAATTACTTAAAGTATTTTCAGTTGCACATCTTTCTAAACCTAGCATGTTAACTAGATGCATGAATCAGAAGAATTGAGGTAATTGCTGTAACAGCTGAAAAAATAAGACATCTGCATAAATAAAATAATCTAATAGATACTGTACATTTGTACATGCTGAACAGGGCATAATATAAAATTACAAGCATTAATCTTGATGGATAATTTCTGTTATAATTGTATGTTTAAACCCTTTGTACATTGATACAGAAGTCCTTATTTTGACTGCTAATATATATTGGGCTACTTTTAGAGTTTGGTCCCAATAAGTCAAATTTTTGATGTCCAATCTATATTCATATATTAAAATGTAAGATGTGAAAATACCTACTCAGACCTATGTACACAAGTGGAAAACCAGTTTTAACTAAAATAAAATAACTAAAGAAAAGGTAAATTTTAAACAGCTTTAGAAAATATTAACTATAAGTCATTCCACAGCTTGAATGACAGAACTTCTCATAATATGTAAGAATAAATAAATAATATTGAGAAATGCTCAGATTATGTATTTGTGGGAAACAATAATTTTATATAGTCTGTTTTATCCAATCAGATCTGAAAGCATGATATGAATCTGACAAGTGAAATACAGGCAGTCCCCGAGTTACGCGGATCCGACTTATGTCGGATCCGCAGTTACGAACGGGGCCGTTCCTCTCCCTGGTCTCCAGCAGACCAGGGAGAGGAAGCAAAGCGGCAGAACACGTGGGCAGCGGACAGCCCTGTCCGCTGCCCACGTGTTCTGCCGCTTTGCTTCCTCTCCCTGGTCTCCAGCAGACCAGGGAGAGGAAGCAAAGCGGCAGAACACGTGGGCAGCGGACAGCCCTGTCCGCTGCCCACGTGTTCTGCCGCTTTGCTTCCTCTCCCTGGTCTCCAGCAGACCAGGGAGAGGAAGCAAAGCGGCAGAACACGTGGGCAGCGGACAGCCCTGTCCGCTGCCCACGTGTTCTGCCGCTTTGCTTCCTCTCCCTGGTCTCCAGCAGACCAGGGAGAGGAAGCAAAGCGGCAGAACACGTGGGCAGCGGACAGCCCTGTCCGCTGCCCACGTGTTCTGCCGCTTTGCTTCCTCTCCCTGGTCTCCAGCAGACCAGGGAGAGGAAGCAAAGCGGCAGAACACGTGGGCAGCGGACAGCCCTGTCCGCTGCCCACGTGTTCTGCCGCTTTGCTTCCTCTCCCTGGTCTCCAGCAGACCAGGGAGAGGAAGCAAAGCGGCAGAACACGTGGGCAGCGGACAGCCCTGTCCGCTGCCCACGTGTTCTGCCGCTTTGCTTCCTCTCCCTGGTCTCCAGCAGACCAGGGAGAGGAAGCAAAGCGGCAGAACACGTGGGCAGCGGACAGCCCTGTCCGCTGCCCACGTGTTCTGCCGCTTTGCTTCCTCTCCCTGGTCTCCAGCAGACCAGGGAGAGGAAGCAAAGCGGCAGAACACGTGGGCAGCGGACAGCCCTGTCCGCTGCCCACGTGTTCTGCCGCTTTGCTTCCTCTCCCTGGTCTCCAGCAGACCAGGGAGAGGAACGGCCCCGTTCGTAACTGCGGATCCGACATAAGTCGGATCCGCGTAACTCGGGGACTGCCTGTACACACTAAACACAAAGTTCATGTCTTTCAGTACTTAAATACAAACATTTTTGGTGTGGACTCTGGTAGCTTTTCAATGGCTCAAAACAACACAGTAGTTAGTTTGGGCCTGTAAGCAGATATGTTATCTAACTGAATCTAATGGAGATTCTAGGCAGGTAGAATGTAATCACCAAAGTTCAACCTTGGACAGAGCACACAGGTTAACAGCTCTGTTCTTATGAACATTGGCGTAGGGACTTTTAATGACCATACATTCTACAGGAGAGTAGATGGAACAGAGATTTTCCACCCAGGGTGATGCTTGACATGAGAGAATCTCCAGCATGTGTACATACACAGTAGTTGTCTTTTGAACCATGATACCTTTTTGAACTGCAGCACTTAGAACAGAAGCCATACCAGAGTTTGGGGTGCAGTGGCCAGGGTGTGATATACTCAGACTATTCCATGCTGGTGTATGGATACTTATGGACCATAATAGCCGGTGCAAGATAGAACTGTCCCCAGGCTGGGAATGTGGGAAATGTAATGGCTATTTGACATTTGTGTGTCTTCTGTTTTGCTAAGGAGGAACTGATTGCAGCAATGAATTTGTCCTTCTGTCTCAATTTGGCAGTCTGTATTAAAATCAGTGGTCTCTAACATGCTAGGCCTGCCCCGCTTCATTTTTAAGTTGGTGGTAGGAATACTCAATGCAGGATTTATTTATTTAAATATTTTACCCCACCTCTCTATTTGAAATATTCGAGGCATCTAACATTGTTTTTAAACAATTGACCACATTAGCACTACAGCACTTACTTATTTTTGGCCTGCCAGCCAGGTCACATAGTGACTACCGGAGCTAGATCCGGGGACACCATGAAGCTGCCCCAGCACCAGGCGCAGCACACCCGACTGCCAGCCACCCCACTCACCCTGCTGCTGAGGGGGAAGTGGGCAGATGGGGAACCCCAGTGAACAGGACTAATCAAAAGCTGGGGGCGTGGCCTGTCAGTGTGCTGCAGCCCGGCACATGGGTTTGCGGCCAGCCGCCAGTCCACAGACCAGCGGTTGGGAACTGTAGATCTAAGCTGTGCTTTGCTGGCTACGCTGTTGTTTATATGTACTAGCTGGGTGCAGTGTCTCTTCTACATACTGTTGTAAGTGTGCTCATATCTTTTCTCAAACGGACCCCTGAGCTAACCTGTCCATGTATGCTGCAGTTTAGATGCTTTTCCTATCCTATTATGAAGTTTTAATGATAGACAATACAGATATAACTTGTATAATGTTGTTTTTAGATTGATAATTCTGCAATCACAAGCAGAACTCTGGATCCCTCAATATATAAAAAATACACATTCAACAAGTATAGATATGTATTCCTTTCCTTGAGACCTTCAGTATCAGGCTTCTGTTAAATGAGTCGTTTAATTTTACATCTTGGTACAAATACTAAGAAAATCATAGCAGCTTTGGAACAGGAACAACTAGAATGGGAGTAGCATAGATATAGGCACGGTTTAAGGTGTGGCTAATATTCCAGAAGTCCTCAGGAAGTTTCCTGGACCTGTTGTGACTGCATGCAGTTTGTCTGATCACACTAATTTCAACCCATTTCTTAATAATTAGTGGGCTGTGCCCACGAAAGCTCATGATACCATCTACATGTTTTGTTAGTCTATAAAGTGCTACCAGACCATTTGTTGTGTTTTAATAATTAGTATTCAGTAATATGAAATCTAATAGAAAGTGGGAAACATTAAATATAATGATTATATAATGACAAGCTCGGCTAAACAAAATTATTTATGACTCTATAATTAAAATTCTTGCTCTTCATTATACAGAATTTAATACATGGAAAGTATTAAAAATGGTACAGGTATACATTCTTGTTAGAAATGAGCATGACATAAGGTACTTAATTCATTGTAGAGTATGTCTGAATTCTGAGGTCACAGATACAAGTCTCTGCTTTCCCAATTCTTTGTTTGTCTATTCTTTTTTAAATATTCTAATTATTTTCCATAGTAAATACAGACTTACTGAAAGTTTATATTTTTACATCTGTTTTTCTGCCACAAAATTGTACTTATGCATTATTCCAGAACGTGGCAGTAGCTTAAAATTATTGAAAGGGAAGCATGAGATTGAATCCTTGATGAATTTTAAGCATTTTTTAAAAAAAGTCATAACTGAAAAAATTTCAGACATCTTGCTAAGTGTTCATTTTCTAGTACAAGCAGTTTACATTTGCAGTAGATTCCTAATTCTGTGTAAAGTATAAAAATGTTGCAAATAATTATTTTCCATTTCTCTACAAAATTACAAGTATAATTTTTTATTTGATTAATTTAACTATTTGTAGAAAAATATGTTTATGTGAAGAGAAAGCAAGAATATATGCAGGTAAAGGTAAACATACACTAACATGTCTGTGATACCCAGAGGTTCTTAGGACCTTTCTAAACTTTTTTTTAAATTTAGGTATTTTGCATTCATTATTGGAAGTGAATTTCGCCCATATCAATACGCTTTCTTGATCTCTGTGTTTGACTTTGTATAATTTTAATAAATTAGGACATTTTCATATATAAAAAGAATTTGAGGTATCAATAGTTAAAATAACTCCATATTTAATCACAATTATTATAAAATAAATGTATAGTATAGAAGTGTGGCACACAAGAAAAACTGAGAGAAACTGAAGCACTTATTCCCAGTATTGGATCTTCTGAAGTGTTTGGATTGACTATTACAAAATAATTAAAATCAAGTAATTGCTTTTACTTTTTATTATAAAATCTATATTTGTGTTTTTAAACATCTCTCGTGCTCTCTTTTATTGCTTCTGTTAAAAGAACTGAACTGTCAGCAGGGTCTATTTATCTGTAATGAAAACAAACTTAAGTTCCATGATATATTTTCCAAATTTATTGCCTCTACAGATCCACACTATAGAGAAGTCTTGAGCCATGTCTTGTGAGCAATATAACTATTGATAATTTGTCTAAGATCTGAAGATGCAAGGACAAGAAAATAATTAAGGCAGTCCTCACAGCAGTTCTCACTTACTTTCTACCTTCAAATATTCACCGAAGGCTTCCAAAAGACAACAGGAAAAATAGTCAGATGGGATCTGCAGAACCATTTTAGGGATGTTAGATATCAGGTAATTGAATAGTTGTGTAACCACACAAAATATTGTTGGTTACATGACTATTCGATAATCCCAGGGGCAGGACTGGTAGCCATTGTGCTCCTGGCTCCAATCCTGGGAACCCCCCTGCCATCTTGTGCTGCTGCTTCTGTATTAGAAGGAGGGAGGTGGTCTGCGAGGGGAGCCAGTTTAAAAACCTCCATGCAAATCAGCTGCCTGCCGCCCACGTTGCTACTTCTGATACAGAGACAGTTGCGTGGGGTGGCAGCAGCCTCTGACCATGTGGGTCCCAGCTGCCAACAGACAGAGGCTGGGCCGCCTCTGATACAGCTGCTCCAGTTTCTGTCTGTGGGAAGCTCAGATCCCCCGTGGATGGGATGCTACTGGGGACCTTCCTCTGTTCGCGGTGAGCTCAGACACTCCACAGACAGAGGCTGCTTCGTGACAGCCTCCCCTGACACCTCCAGGCCATGTGCTGCTGACTCTGACAGAGGCAACAGCACGGGAGGTTAAGGGGGTCACTGCGGAGCCAGTGCTGGGGGGAATTGGCTTTTAAGCTAGCTCCCCACAACACCAGCTCCTGTTTTCCCCCACCTTACTGCCTCTGATACAAAAGCAGCAAGGGTGGGGGAGAAATGTGAGTAGTTGACAAGATAAACCGATAAGCCATCCTTAGAAGCGGTACTGCTGAAACTCCATTTACTGATGAGTAACTTTTCTTTCTTCATCCTGAATTGTCTCTGCAGATCCATACTATAGGCAATTATCTAGAAGAATCCAGTTGAGAAGGTGGGTGAGGAGTGCTTAATTGAAGGATTAGCTTCTGAAACCAGGAATTTGATCTAGCTCTAGAATTGAGAGTAATATTTCATTAAGGTAGGAATTAAACTCCAAGTCTGAAGTTTAGGGTACTCTTATTTTAAGAATGTAGAACTTTGTCATAGAAATAACATCTTATTTTAATAAAAAACTTCCTGGAATTCAATTTCAATCCATCTGGTATAGATACGCAGTCTTGATCCCGTTTAGTAAAAGTCTGTTTTGGAAGGGTTTTTTCTGTTGGCTGGCTCCCCTTAATTTGCAAAGAGTTGTGAAAGGTTTTGTTCTTACCAAATAGTAACTAACTAGCTGCCCATTCCTACAGGCACTTACACACAAACTCAACTTTAAACACATGAATAATTCTATAGGAGTCAATGGCTATGTCTACACAGCTTCCCCCTTCCGCAAAAGCCTATACAAATGAAGCACGGATTAGCACATTGCTGCACTTCGTTTGCATAATTAATTAGGAGCCGGTTTTGCACAAGAGTTTTTTGCGAAAAAAGGCGCCACCTGCACATCGCCTTTTTGCGCAAAAACCCCCTCTTGTGCAAGAGCCGTTCTTCCTGAAAAAATGAAGAACGGCTCTTGCACAATAGGGTTTTTTTGCACAAAAGGGTGTTGTATAGACGGCGTCTTTTTGCACAAAAACGGCTCCTAATTAATTATGAAAAAGAAGCGTGGCAATATGCTAATCTGCGTTTCATTTGCATAGGCTTTTGTGGAAGAGGGAAGCTGCGTAGATATAGCCAATATGAGCAACTCAGATGCAGAGTGTTTGCAGGATCAGTGTCTGAGTCTTCTTATAGACTGTAGTCTGTGCAGCTTTGCTTTATCTTGAAGAGCATAATGGTTAGGAAAAAACACAGGAGTCAAAAACAAGACCTTCACATTCTGGGTAGGGGACAGTATTCTACTGAGGTTTTATGCTATAGAATTGTACAGTATTTTGAGACTTTTAAAGAGATTTCATATACAATGTGATAATGGGAGTCATGAGCAATACATAAATTCCTAGGGAATGCTAAGGGAAATCTGAGTGGGATCCTTGAAGCTAAAGAAAGACTAAATTGTAGTATGTTGTAATGGAAGTGATCAAGAATTTCAAACTGTAAACCCTCACTTGTAAAACTCTATTCTACTTTAATGTGTATGTTTAAGCCCTACAGTATTTCAATCTGTATTGTCTTGTACTTCTAAAATTTGTTCATATTATTTATTGAACGTAAATAATTTCTCAAGTGAAACCTATGAAAAGCTTCTTTTACTTACCATGAATTTTATACAACTTCCAGGAAGAATCTTGGTGAAAGCATACTTTATCTCTGGGTGGAGAAGATACGAGAAGTTCTGATAGACAAATCTCAATCATCTGATCCAGGTGATGTAAAATATATGTACTGTTTTCTGTTTACTTTTGGTTTTATTTTAAGATTCTTGCTCTTGTCAGTTGTACATTTCTTATTTTAAGATGCTTGCTCATGTCAGTTCAGTTGTATGTTAGGTGTATGCATACCCATGCGCATTACTGTCAGAATTTTTTGCCTTAATAGTATCTGTAGTAATGGCTCTGTCACCTCTCAAGTTCTGCACTCATTGGTGGTATGAGAATCACTGGTGACCCTATGTCCTCTCAGTTCTCTCTTACAGCCTGTGATTGTTGGTCAGAGCACCTGCCCTCTTGCATCTGCAAGTGCAATAAGGGTTCTCGTCTATGCTTCATTATTTCTAATTGTATATAGTTCTGATTACATTGTTAGTGAGTAGTGTGTAGTAGCTAGAGTCCTCACTGGGATTTTGTCCCAAAGATGGGGAATGCCCCAGTCCCTGGGCTTCAAACTGTGCTCAATTTGCAAGAAGTCTATGCCAGTTAGCAACCCCCATAGCAGCTCCCTGAAGTGTTTAGGGGAGTTGTATATGAAGGAGAAGTGCATGATTTGTAAAAGCTTTAGGCTAGGAACCCAGAAAGAATGGGATCTTTGCCTAAAAGCCCTCCTCTTGGAGGCTGCACTTCACCTGGTATTGGAGCTGCTCCTCTGCGATTCAACTCTGAGCACATTGGTGTCAATGTGGAGGGCTCTGCTGGAACCAATTTCCTCCTTGCAACTTTCCCCCTTGCTGGTGCCTGGCAAGCACTAGAAAAAACAGTGCATGTGCTTCCTGGTACCAAGTAAAGAGAGGAAGAGAGTGGTGAGCAAAGAGACCTATTCGGGTTGCTTGCGCTGGATTACCAAGGGGGTATTTCCCTGGCTACACCTTTCAGTCTGCTCAGGAATCCGAGGCAGGGGACCCTGGCACTTGACAGTGGCTTTAACATTGAAGCTTTATGGCCCTCCTGACATCGTCTAAGCCTTGGCTGGCATAGATATAGTTAAGGCTCCTTCATCCAAAGGCAAGCCCACTGTGAGATCACCTCAAAGGGCAGTGTCAGTAGTCCTTGGAACAGAGGCATTGTACCCTAATTCTGTGATCCAGGTCTCTCTCACTGCAGATGCATAGATCACTTGTCTTTAGATGCTGGTCCCTGCCCTCCCAGTATTGCCCTCCCTCTTAGCAACTGATGTCCCAGTACAAGTCACCACCTCCCAAACTGTCTCAAGTGCACTGGTCACTGCTTGCTCAGCACCGATCTCCCACTCTAGGCATCAGGTGCCAGACAAAGATTTCCATGGCTTCTCCATGGTCCATGAGAAGAGACTCCTCTGAATTGGATCAGGAATTCAGCCTTTCGCCACACAAGCACGGATCACCCTGAGTGCTGGATGTCAGCATGGTACCCACAACAACTACATGGTAGTAAAGTCACTGACCAGCTCAATGGCCTTATTGGATTGCATTGGGTCTCTCAATGATATCAGTGCTGTTCTTGCATCACTTCTCTCTGACCACCTTGGAGAAACGACCCACAACACTGCCAGTTCAAATCACAACACAAGCTTCAATAACTGAGTGGAGGAACAAGTAATAGCTCTGCAGGAAACCTCCCCAGTCTGGGAGAGTGCCTCAGTACCTTACCCCATGGTACCATCATCATTTTTTTTAATTTATGAAAAGTAAAGTATTTTATCAACCCAGACTAGTTAGAGTTGAGCATTAGGTTGAGATCTTTCATACAATGCTCAACTAGTGACCTGAACCTGAGCTGGAGGGAAAAGTGATTAAAGTCTGGTCTACACTGGCAAGGGTGTTTTTTCTTTGTTTTTTGGGTTTTTTTTCCCAAAAAAATCATCTTCTGGTGAAGAAACAGCTGAGGCATCTACACTGAAAAGCCATTTTTACACCAGAACTCCTCAGTTGTAGTACTGTAATATACCTTGATGAGAGTCATAAAGCTTTTTGCACTAAGGCTTTAACGCTGTAGTGCCAGTGTGAATGCCTTGACTGCATTTATCACTGTAATTGGCCTCCAGAGGTGTCCCACAATGCCTGGACTGAAGGCTCTGATCATTGTTTTGAACTCTGCAGACATGCACCCCTCCCATTTCAAAGCTTCGTTCTGACAGTGAGGGAAAGGGGGGTAAGGGGGAAAGACATGCTATGTTGCTCTGCTCTGGGACACAAAGCAAATCATCACAAAGGAATGCTCTTGATGTCTCCCAGAATAGAAACAGGCAGAAAGATAGGAGTGGATATAAAAAGCAGTCATGTAGCACTTTAAAGACTAATAATATAGTTTATTAGGTGATGAGCTTTCATGGGGCAGACCCACTTCTTCAGGTGCTGTGCTGTGCTAGCGAAGGAGGTTGGGGCTGAGGTTGGTGTCCTCACCCCCAAGTCATGACTCGTTGCTTCCTGTGACTAACTGAATTTATGAGACAGAATGCCAACATGCTTGCTCTCCTTCCCCCATCACACTGTCTCTCCCTATCCCACACTCTCTCCCCCACACTTCAGTTGAAAAGCGGATGGCAATATAGGATATCCCTGAAAGAATTGGATTGAGAAACCTGCATCATGTGATCATGTACCTGCCTCTTGAGGCATTGCAAACTCTTCCCAAGGAACCCTTTGGCCACTTGCACAGTGGGAGAGTTAGTATATTGCACTGCTCTCTTTGTTTTTGCAAGAGCTCCTAGTATGGATCTGCTCTACCAACATAAGGAGCTATTGTGGACATGCAAAGCGCTTTAATAAAAGTAGTATAACTTTTGGTGCATAACTTTGCGAGTGTAGACATAGCCTAACAGTAACAGTCACTAGACGAGGCTAAAAAGCTTAGTCTTTATACTTAAAAATATAGTAGACAAAATACTAAAAGCGTGCACTAGTCTATAGGGAACAATCCTACTTTCTCAGGGAATAGGTTTGATAACCTTCCAGGACATTTTAATTTAATTTCTGATTCTGTGAAGAGATCAGTCTTCACTCTTTCTTGACCAAAGCTCATAATTTTTGCTGAATTTTGTGGAGTGTTTTTATGTTATAGAACCCTGTTTAACATGGATCACAATTGGATGGCTAAACTTCAGTTTATTCTGATGCCGTAGTTTAACAGCAATAATATTTTAAACTTGATTTTCTTTTTTTTTTAACCAATATTAAAACAGAATCTGTTTTATAATCTGTTGCATATATCTCTCATACTGTCAGTATTGCAACAGCGCTTTTTAGCAAGATTGCAATAATGAATATTTGACCAAAAATGCCAGCTGTAATTACTGTTATTGTCAAATCCTAGGAATGTAAATGGTTAACCAGTAAGCCCCTGGTTAATGGGCAGCCCCAGTACATGTCCCTCCTCCCACCACAGTTACATGCTGGCTTCCAAGGAGCTGTTTGCAACACTCCCAAGGAAGCCTCCACAGGAGTGGGGCCCGCAGCAGCCTTTGCCAGCCCTGCTTCTAAGGAGGTGGCTTCACTGTGGGCTCTGCAATATAAAGAATATTTAAGTTTTATACTGCAGAGCCTGCAGCACATGTAGTTGCTAGGATTTTTAGTAGTTACACGGATACATTTTTAGATGAATTTTTACATCCCTATCGAATATACTGAATAGTTTAATCACAGTCATAAAATGATTTGTATTGTTGATTTTAGAGACCAGCAAAGTGGTTGAAGATTTTACTTTGCACTAGACCACCCTGATATAATTAGTTACAAATTCTATTGCTCCATTCCAGCAGAACCAGATGTTAAGAAAATTACAGAAGAGATTGATGAAGATGATTATTCCCTGGAGTATAAACCAGTTCAAGAAGAAGCAATTAAAACACTGAATTTTGTTATATCTGAAAGCCAAGAAGGTAAAAGAATCACTGATAATTGTGATGCAATAATTTAGAAGAGAAAACCTTTCTATGTCTGCTTTTTATCACTATCCATTATATATTAGCAAACAATAATGTAGTCTTTGGTTTAAAAAAAGTATTTTGGTTCCCTGGTCTACAATACTGTATAGTAACTATAAAACATACTTTTTTGTAGTGTGAGAGATATTGTCATTTCAACTTTTGATGAGTTCTTCTTTATACCTTATCTCCTAGCTAGCCTTATTTCCTACCTATCTAAATAAATTGTTAGAAATTTGTAGACACATTTCTCCCCAAAATACAAAATAAAGAGGCCTTAATCTTAAATCTGTAGATGAAGAACTTCCCCCAATTAATCACGGGAATCCAATCTCGGACCGAAGGAGTACTTTTCAGGCACATCTGGCTCCTGTAGTGAGCCCCAAACAGGTTAGTAAATCTTGTATGTCAAATTTGTAGTCTCTAGTTTTGTGTTTGATTAAATACCACTGATGTACTTGGAATTATCTGAATGCATCTCTGTTTTGTGAACAGTATGCAATTACTGTTCTAATAAGAACCAGTCACTGTCATTTACTATTAGCTGAATCCGTTCCTGTGATAATTCCCATTAAAGCAGTTGTTCCATCTTACTGTTGAAGAAAGTAAATATTATTATCACTTGCTTTTAAGTGGACTAGACATGGGATTGGGAGTGAGGAGCAGTGGCGTAGCGAGAGGAATTGGGAGGGGCAGTTGCCCCGGACACCATGCTAGAGGGGCACCAGTTTAGTTCCCCTCTGCTCCTCTGTCATCTCTTGGCTCGCTTGCTCCTCCTCCGCCCGCCAGCCCTGGCTGGGGCCCCAGCGGGTTAGTGTGTGCAGGGGCCTGGCCCCAAACTGGAGGTGGCGGGCAAAGACATATTACAAGCTCCCCACCTCCTCCCAGGGTCAGGGTCAGCCATGAACCAGGTTCTGGGCCCCATCGCACAGCAGTGGCGGCGGGGGGCGGGAGTGCAAATTTTGCTTTTGTCCCCGGGTGCATAACACCCTCGCTACACCTCTGGTGAGGAGATTTAGGTTCTAGTCCTGATTGTGACACTGTGACCTTAGGAAAATCAATTAAAGTGGTGTTTCTACCCTGCAAAGGAAATGCATGCACATTTCATTTCCTAGCTCAACAGCTGTAATCTTTTTTGTATTCTTAGACAGTTACTTGCTTTAGTGACAGTCCCTTTGGTTCTGCATAACTAATACTGCTATGGCAAAGTGATCTGGATTGTTTACGTCTATTGTACTTGAACAAAAACAGAAAACATGAGTAATGGATGCAGTTTAGTCTTTTTTGTAGCATTATCTTTTCTGCTTTTCTTTGGCTGATTATAAGGGGATTTGTTAAAAATGCACAAAGCTTTTGTGATTGGCATTTACATTTTGGACAGATGTTACAAAGAAGAGAATGATGGTAGGGTATAGCCAAGGACTTGGGAGTTCACAAGAAGTTTGTGGGACCTTGGACAAGTCACTTAGCTCCATTTTACAGGAAAAACATTGACTAAAAGTACTTTCCTACCTCTGAGGCCTGCTGAAGATTAAATGCATTAAAGCAGAGTGGGACAAACTATAGCCTGTCAGCTTTTGAATTCGGCCCTCAATCTCCCCCTGGGAACTGATGTTTGGAGCTTGCCCTCCTCTGTGTGTGCCACATCTCCCTGAATCAGCAGCATGTCCCACTTCTGACCAGCTCCTACATGTAGGGGCAACCAGAAGACTCCATGCACTGCCCCCATACCAAATACTGCCCTGGCATCTCCCATAGATGTGGAAACCATGGCCAATGGGAGCTGGAGGGGCAGTGCCTGACAATGGAGAGGAGGCAACACACGGAGCTGTTTTACTGCACCTCTGCGTAGCAGAAGGAGGATGTGCTGCTGCTTCCAGGAAGAAAGGTACATGTAGCCAGGAGCCTTTACCCTGAGTCCCAGGCCTATCCCTGATCTCCCTCTTCTCCTCTGAATCCCTCAGTCCTAGCCTGGAGCGCTCTCCTGTGCCTCAAGCCCCTTATCCAGAGCCCCACCGTAAAGCTAGAGCCCTTATCCCCCTATTCCTCTGCACTCTAACCCCTTGCCCCAGCATGGAACACCCACCTGCACCCTGAACTCCTAATTTCTGACCCCACCTTTGAGCCCACAAACCCAGCATGAATCCTCATCTCCTCCTGCACCCCAATCCCAATTTCATGACCATTCCTGGCCCTCCATACAACTTCCATACTCTGATGTGGGCCTCAGGTCAAAAAGTTTGTCCACCCTTGCATTAAAGATAGAGAAGAGCTCTGACTCTATGGAAATGGGGACCATATCAGTACTTAAGATACATAGAACAAACCTGATAGAGGTAATAGAGTTGCATGGTTGCCATGGAGGGCATAATGTGACCTACAGAATCTTTATTACTTGACATATTCATATTATTTTGACTATAGTGACTGGGGGGCACTAACATTCTTAAGCTATACTTAGCAGATATTGGTTGATGGAAGCCTATAACCAGTGAGTGCGGGCTTCCTAAAACATGGGACATATGACTAGGTTTTTAGAGCTACCTATGCAGAAAACTAAGTAATTCTTCTCTTTTCCTCCCATCATTCCCTCCCTGAAATACTTAGGAAATTTCAAACAGACAGGTTTTGATTAGGCAAAGTTAAAGTGATGGTATGTGTGGTTAAAACAGGATTCACAACAAAAACTAGCTTCATCAGTAAGTATGGAGGGAGTAGCATCTATTCATAATACTTTGCCTACCTCACTGTATTAATTAATATTTATAAAGCACTATGAAAATGTAAAATGTTATGCAAATTATAACTTCAGTATTTCACACTTATTTCTAACAGTTTCAATTTGCTTTTAAATAATATTACTTTTAATTGGTATCATAATTATTTTAAAATGGAAAACAAAGTTAAAGGATACAATTTAGCATGTTTTGTAGCATTGCTTTTTCTAATCTTTTTTGTCTGAATGGATTAGATGTTTAAAATGCACAAAGGTTCCATGGTTGGTATTTACATTTTTGGAAAATGCTACAAAGAGTTGACTTGGTGTTTTTAAGACCATTTTTGTCTTTTATATTGGGAGTTTGCAAAGGGGCTTCCTTATTCTCTCTGGGTCTACATTTATTGAACATTATTTATTATTCTAAATGTTTTGTTGTTTGTTCATTCTTCTGAAATAAAAGAAACAAAAAACATGTCATTGCGTATACAATCTGTGTGACTGGATTGGTTGATCATTCTGGATGCTATCTTTACTTGGCATCTTTTCCATATATAAGCTTGAAAGTAAAACAATACTAATACAGTTTGAACTTATTACCTCCGTTTGAGTATCCTCATTTTCCCCACCAAACAAATTAATTCATACAAGACACACTGAAAAAATTCTTCTTTAATTCTGACAGGTGAGATGAAAAAGCAATAATGAATTACCTAAGCTAGTTTGTGCTTACCCTCAGGAGGAGGCCAGAAATATATAAGCTTAGCCTCCAAATTGATTATCCTTTCTGCTGGGAGATATTTCGGGAGTAAGGACTAGGTGGAGTGTTTGGGCTCTTATTCTTGCTGGCTCAAAGTGAAAGAGAACCCTCTTGCTATGGTTTTAGAGGCGTCTACTTGGAGGGCTGGCTTCTCTTCTTGGTTCTCCATTGGCATCCATCCCTGCCCTGGCAGTATGTCTTTTTCAGCTCCTGTGCATCCATGCATTGAATCCCTCTGGAGTTGTAAAGTAGCAAATACAGAAGAATCATGCTCTTAAAGAGTTAATTCTGTATTAACACTCAATTGGCTATCCACTTAGATATCTGCGTGGTCAGTTAGGCATGATGTCTCAGAAGACTCGGAGAGTTCTATCACCTTTGATATCACCTCCAAACCAAGGTGGAAGAAAAACTCTTCAGAGTAGGAGTGGGCAATAATTTTGGAAGAGGAGGCCACTTCACAAATTTTGGAAGTGGCCATGGGCTTCAGGTGGAAGGGGGCAGGGCCTCAGGTGGAAGGGGCAGGGTTGAGAGCTACCCTGCTGGGTACGGTGACCTTATTTTCTGAACCAGCAGTAGCTAGTGAGAATAGTTTAATTTAAATTATGAAACAGATCAAGTGTTTTAAACTAACATGAGAAAGTTATCAAACTTTGTTTTAAATAAAGTAAAATATTATGTCCAACACAAAAGGTTTCAATGTTTTCTTTTTTTATGGCAGGGTGGGGAACCTTTTAAAATCAGTTGGGGATCACACAAGTGAGAAGCAAAAAAACTTTCCCCGGACCCTCCAACCTTCACTGATATGGCCCCAGCTGAGACACCTCACTCGTCTGGCCCTCCAGCCCAATGAAGTGAGGGAAAGGGACAGGGAGGACTGAGGTTAAAGGTTTCCCATAGGCCAGATTCACTTTTCTGGGGTTCCAGAGTTTGTGGATTTGATGGACTTTAGGCTCCGGGGTAGGGACAAATATGAGGGGTTCAGTGTGTGAGAGAAGGCTGCCGAGTGGGATAGGGTGCAGGATCTGAGAGGTAAGTGGGGTAGAGGAGGGGGAGAGGTTGTGAAGTCTGGGTGGGAGGTAGGGTGCAGAAGCAGGCTCGGAGTAAGGTGGCTCCGGGGTGGGGACAAACATGAGGGGTACAGTGGGTGAGACAGGGCTACCAGAAAATAGGATAGGGATTGGGTGCAAGATCTGGGATGGAGCTGGGGTGCAGAAGCAGGCTGGGAGTAGGGTGTCTGGCCAAGTGGAGGGAGCAGGAACAAAGGAGGGTGCAATGTGTGGCCAGGAGAGAGGATGCAAGAACAAGCTGGGGGTGCCAGGTCTTGGGGGAGAGGGTAGTGAAGAGATTGGAGTGCAAGAGTATGGGCATGAGGGGGAACCTTACCTGGCTTTGTGCCCCCTGGCAGCCCTGCTGTCCTAGTCACCCCGGAGAGAGGCCCCGCTGTCATGGTGGCCACATAGTCCAGGTCTGTCCCTGGAGGTGCTGCTGCCATAGCCACAC